CTTAGACCAAGCTAAATCCAAAAATGCGAGGGAATACCCTAATCAGGGAACTACCAGAGGGAAAAAATAAAACAAAACCCCCACCCCCACCAACACTGGCAGGGCATGCCACTATATAAAAACAGAGAGCAAACCCCATTCCATTCTAGCACTGAAGATGTTACCTAGCCAGATAATGAAATGTTTGCAAGAAAAGAACCAAGCTCAGAGAACCCCAAGGACTCCAGAGTTAAATGTTTTTCTATAATCCTTATACTTACTTTTTCCCCCTGGATATTTAAACCTGAGCCTCTCTGGCATAGCCCTCATTCAGATTTCTGATCTTAATAATTTAGCGTACCACTTATGATTTAAACGTTAAATTAGAAGGAACTGGTAGAATGCTTTCTTCCAGGGAGAAATGTTATGGCCTTTAATGGCGAGTGCTACTAAAAGTAGTGCTGTGAGTGCAGTGCAGATGAGAATGAGCAGCTGTAAATCTACAGGGGCTAATGTTAAAAAACCTGCTCGTTTCCCATTGCACTCTAAACTGACTGACTATTCCTGAACCCAGTCAAACCCTTCTCCCTGAGTCCCCTTCCAGTTAACATAGCAGCAGCTGCTGTTCCAGGAGTTGCAAATTCTGTTTTTCCCTCCTCTTCCCCTTTCCTCCTGGCATCTCACAGGCAGTAGGAGCTCTGATGTAGGGAAGGGTTCCACGGTTCCCATTACATGGGACCTGTCAACGCATCAGTGCAGACATCGAGGAGGACTTTGTCTGCTCCTATGAAGATCCAACCTGGGAAAGAATTTGAGGATCATAACATACACCTTTGCACTGAAATACTTCCACAGAGTTTTTGGTTTTCTGCCAAAGATTTATGAACTTGGCAAGATAGTACTATTTGAATTGGAAACTTGTCACACAAAAATGTGGAAATGAATGTAAATATAGTATGCACATTCTGTGTGAGCCAAGAATTCCATAGTTCAAATCTAACTCACTGTTGCCATTTTCCTGGTTCCATTTGCAAGCCATAAGTCATAAGGCTGCTGCCCCATCTTATAGAGATATTACAAGAATAATGGAAATCCTATGTGTGAAATGTTTTGAATATTGTAATGGGTTTTTGGGATTGGAATTGGAATTGTCCCATCTCTGTGAGAACTGGGTTGGCCACCTGCAATCCTGTAACATTAGTACAGTAGGTGTCCCCAGGATGGGTTGCCTGATTCAGGTCCACTAACTGAGGATGTGCTGCTGACCGTGGAATTCCATCCTCTGCAGGAGAGCTTGGAAATGCCAAGGACATCTTGGGCTTGGTATCTTTTCAAGAGTGAAGGAGATCAGAGATCTCCTTTCAGCTCCTGCTTGTCATTGTGTGTGAGTTTGTCTTTTAATTCTGCTGTTCGGTCAAAAGATTTCCAGGGCAGTTTACATTTAGTCAGTCTAAAAACAAGGCTGTGGTTGCCTGCAGACTTTCCGTCTAAAACAGAGGATGTGAAAGGTGAAAGAGATAGTAAAGGACAAAGAAGAAAAAGTCCAGGAACAGCAAAATCAAATGCTAGATTTTTATTGTAGGATGGGGAGGAAGCAGAAGGAAGCTGTATGCCAGAAGTGTTGAAGGAAGGCCCTGTTCTCCCTCTGGGGCTTCTGCCTGTAGCAGAGCACAGAGGTCCTACCTGGAACTTGAGCCTTCTAAGACCCATAACATTCATTCTGCAAGGAAGAAGGCCCAAGGAGTGGGTTTCCATAGCAGTGTTGTAAAATTGCACGAAATCCAAATAAACATTTCTTAATACTAAGAAGTGATGCTTTAAGCCTGTCTTTGGATTTCCTACAAGCATAAAAAATAAACATTTCTTAATATCTTTATTTGGATAAAGTCTTTCTTTAGGAAATACTTGGGAACAAACAAATACTTCAGAGTTACAATAACTCAGAAAGAAAAAATAACTTACTTTGGGTATTGATGTAATATTTACAATACATGTCAAGATTGTGGTTTGAAAGCATGTCAGTTCAGATCTTCCCTGGGGTTGTCTCAGGCCAGGTTGAAATCCAGAGCTTCCAAGAACTGTTTAACACAGCCGTCAACCATCTGGATCCCTTTGTTCAGAGACTGGAAAGGCTCCTTCCTCCCCTCCTTGCAGGCACAGGATACTAGGTTCCTTTCCTGCTGGCAGAAGCAGTCACCTCCTGCCGTCCTACACCCTTTACCTGCTTTAACAATTTACACAACATTACAAGTGGAGACCTGGGAGAGTGAATTTCAGTCAGTCAAAATGCCGTACACAATTGAGGAATTCATCCTCAAAGGTCTGGAGATTCATGCAAAAAATCACTGCAACCTGTTTAAGAAGAGTCTTTTGCCAGCACAGATGGAAGCTTGTGTAAGACTCATTCCTCCATCAGGGAATTCTGGGAACAGTAGTTTGGTGAATGGGCTAGTAACGGAGAACTCTTAGGAGGTGACTCTAAATTCCCAGGATTCTGCAGAGAAAACTATAATCTAGAAAGGGGTATAAAACTGAAAGCTATAGATGCTGTTCCATGTTCTCAGTTACTCCACTGCTTCTCTGAGAAGTGCCTTTAAAGGTAGAGAAAGATGCTAGCTATGTAGAAAAAAGAAAAGGTATTGCCAAGAGGGTCACTGCAGAGGGCATCTGACTTTCTTCTCTTGTAAGCAGTTTTTTTTAGCTGACCTTCAAATCAGTTTTGGTGATACAGGTAGTCCTGTAAAGCGAGACATCACATGACCTCATCGCTTAGGGATGGCAATCCTGGCATTCCCCATTGCAGTCGTTAAACAAATTCCCCCAGTTGTCTGCTGAGGACCCACCCCAATCCAAGCCGTTCCAGGCTTGGTTCCTGGCAGCCCTGAGCCTCAGTAAGGTAAGGGACTGCTTCCAACTCCCCTACCCACCTATTTCCCCACCCCCATCTCTGCCTTTTTGGCTGCCCTGCACCTGCCTTGCAGGGCAGCAAGCAGTCCCAGAACTGCACGGCTCTGGGGCTGTTTGCCATGCACCGGGAAGCCACAGCTGTACTCGCCCTCACCACCCTGCACTCAAAGGGCCCTGCCACCCTGTGCTCTGCTGCACTGGCTGACCTTTGCTGTCTTCTTGCTCCCGCTGCTGACGAGGTGTGCCCGGCCTGTCTGCTGGGCCAGGTTGGGGCTGGGTTTCATGCTGCACTGCAGCTCTGGGGCTGCTTTTTGTAAAAAAGCCCCTTTGCACCATGCTCCTGTACCGGGCTGGGGCTGGGCTTCACGCTGCTGCTCTGAGGCTGTACTGGGCTTCACACTGGCCCAAAAGGGCATAGTTGGGGGGGGAGATAGGCAGGTGGGGGGAGTTGGAGCGCCCCTGTGGTCATAAGTGCATGTGAGCTGCCAAGCACCTGAATTTTAATCATGGGACCTGGGGGGTGTGCTGCAATGGACACAGCTTTGGGGACTGGTCATAAGTCCCTTCATTCAGTGCCACCGTAACTTCGAACAGTCACTGAACTAATGGTTGTAAGTTGTGGACTACCTGTAGTAGAATGAAAGAGTTGTCTTGTGTCTTAGAGCCCACCTCAATCCCAATGGACTCTAGGCAGCATACAATAAGAAAAAAACAACACATCCCAAGAACAGTCCAATCCATTGGGGCCAAAGTCTCACTGAAATAAAACCAAGTTTCTAGAATGTCAACAAACTTGGGACCCACGTGCATTTCTGTGGTATGTCCTGGAGTGGCAATGTATAGTTAAGCAGTGGCAGCATACTGATGACACCTCACCCCATCTCACATAAAGAATGATGGCCCCTCCCAGCAGTTTTGTGTGAATGTTGAACAACATGGGGAAGAGCCTTGAGTCCTATGGGACCTCACATTGCAGCCACCAAGGACTCAAGTGCTTCCCACCCACGGTCACCAACTGGAGCTGTCCATTTACATAGGAGCAGAACCATCATAAAATGGTGTTTCCAAATCCTAACTCTTAGAGGTTGACCAGAAAGATGCCAAGGTTAAAGGTATCAGATGCCACCAGATCTAGTAGAACCAAGAGGGACATACTTGCCCCATCTAGTTCTCAACAGAGATCACCTGCCAGAGCAATCTAGTATATGCCATTTCTGACCCATGAGCAGGTCTGCATCACACCTGCAAAGAATCCTCTGGCTTTCCATCACTTTCACAAAGGATTGTGTTGTCTGTTCCACCCATTAGTGGTTACATAGTAGAACCTATGAAAACCATTGTCAGCCAGATAGGCATTTCAGGTCTCCAGGAGATGATTGCCCCATAAAAAGTGAATGAATGAGTTTTAAGGAGAGTCTCCTTAGGGTCTCAATCTAAACTTGTTCTGGTCTTGTTCAGAACCTGAACTAGAACACAACAGTAAAACATGTTACACCCTCACAGATCCCAGATGCAATGGCTAGGTCCACACAAAACATTGAACCTAAACATTAGGTTAACAAAACAACATGTCTTCATGTAACATGCCATCCCTAAACAAATAGGTTGTGTGATGGCCTGGGACACACAACATGCTAAAATAGTGGCTGGGTCCATCCATGTACTGAAACTCCTCAACTGTTGTGACGTTCCTGATCCCATTTTGCTCTTTTCTGAAGGCTCTCCTTTTGCTTGTGGAGCCTCAGCACAAGTTAGCCATGTACAGGATTCAGCCACATGCAGGATTTACTGTGCCTAGCTTGAATCCCTGTTCCTGGAGGTTTCTCCTTATTTGGTTACAGTATATATTTCAAGTAGCCACATCATCAATAGTGCCTTTTTCTTTGCTTCCTGATGGCAAATAGGATAATGTGCAAGCTTCAAACAGTGTTGAAGAAAGAGCTGACATCACTGCCTATTGGTGGGGCGAGTGGACCAAGTGGGCGGCATGCACTCGGACATGTGGTGGAGGAATCAGATTCCAAGAAAGGCACTGCCTCCAACAGAGGTAATCTCTGGTGGCTTTGTCCATCTGTCATGACTTTTTCTAGCTATGTGCAGACTCTTTTTGAACACGAGTTTGGGGTTCAGAGCATATTTGTGTTCAGAAGCTGCTTGAACAATGCTGCAGGGGGTTATTGCTCTTGCACAGTGGGCTATGAAGTGGCAGAGAAAGAGTCATCTGTCTCTGTATCCCACTTCAGTGTGCAGCCCTCCTGCCTCCCTCTTGATCAGCTGTTGCTGAGACTGCCAGGCCTCCAAGCCTGAAGAACCTGGTTTAAAAGAAATGAACTCCAGGGTGGCCCTGGAGGCAGGGTCCAGGGGAAACGAATCCACACCAGCCTGAAGTGGCCGGTAGGTGCTCGGCTGACCCCACCCCCCTGAGATCACCTCCCTGTAGCACCAACAAAAGAGTTAGAGAAGCATGTCGATTTGTAACTGGCAAAACCTGCGTTGAGATAAAGGGGGAACACAGCTTTAACAGCAGAATGGTTGAGAATAGCTTTAAGCAGTCTCAGATGGGCTGGAGAATCAGATGAAGTCAACTTCGTGAGGACATGGCAGAAAAATACAGGTTTTTGAGGCATCTTTGTCCCATGGTTAGGTGGAAATGGCTCTAAGTGTAAAAAGGAGATTTGTTTGGCTATCTTCATTAGTACACAGGCCTTGACCAACAGACTGCAGCCAGAGGCCAACTCCAGCACTAGCAAGTTAGGAGCTTGTTATTTACAATCCCTGAATTCTAGGTCTGGATTCTCTCTTCCTGCTCTTCCTCAGAGATGATCTAGTCCAACCCCTACACGGTGGAGGATTCACCATGATCCTCCAGCCTGTCTTTGAAGACCTCCACCAAAAGAGAACTCATTTTTGAGCAGCAAAACAATATTGCTGGGGATATCTGGAAAAGGTTTTATTTGCTTGCTTGTTGCTAGTATTTCTGTGCTCCACCCATAATAGGTCTGAGCCCTATACGGTAGAAATAGAAATTAAAAACATCAAAACAATAACAATTAAAATATATTCCAATGTCACTAATCAGTAGAAGGAATCATAAAGGAAAACTTAACATCTCCCAAATACTTTCTTCCAGAGCCAAGTTTTCATTTCTTTTCAAAAAATCAATAACAAGGGACTGATGGAGATTTTCATATCATAACTTGACTGCTCTGTGATAAAAACTAGGTGTCTTGTGTGATATTAGTCAGATCTAATATCCCCCAACACCTACAGGGCTCCAGGACCACTTCAGTGAGTTCCAGCAACTCTGGTGGGGAAGTAGCTGTGCAGGAGGGAGACTGGCGCAACAGCTTATCCCTGTGCACCCACTCTTCTGCAGAAAAGCACCACTGGCCACCTGCAGGGCCTCCTGGATGGCAGCTGCCATTGCACTACACCAGCAGGGACATGGATCTAATACACAGATAGTCATGCTCACAGCCTCAGTAACCTGTCCACTTCCTTGGAATCCATTGGTTTGAACTCTTCCTAGATACCCTTGCGAGATCATGCCTCATTCAAATGGCTGACTAGCAGTTCTTCAGGACATTCTGACCTAGCACTCAGTGCCCCTGATGCCAGGCAGTCAGCCTACCCCCGCCACTACTCATACACACACACCACAGCCCCCTCTTTGCTCCCCTGCTCTCACCCTGGGTAGCTAGAGGCCTAAACTACACCCTACCAAGCTAGCACAAATAGGGTGGCATCTCTCCCCTCATCATAAGGGATGGCAAAAGAAGGGTCAGTAACGTTCCCTTTTTCCCTCTGCCCAGAGGATGTCACTTGCACAGAAGATGTAAGTGGGATCAGAACCCCTTTCGGGGAGGAGTCTGAGGACTTCGCTAGATGGGATTTGGATTCCCTTTGGACCTTATTTCCCTAGATGTTTAGTTTTTGGGGGGCCAAAGCTAGGCTGGTTTACATTGACTCTGTCAGTTTTGTGTATTTCCCTCCTTACCATCACAGGGAATAAAAATTCAGCAGTGCATTTGGTGGGGGCTGCACTGGCTGACAAAAAGTTTCCAGGTTACAGGCGGCCTGCCCCATAGCCAGAATGTGGAAATAAAAGGAAATATGAAAATGGGGTGCCAAATCAGGAGACTCAGACAATGCTAGCAAGAGCAAGCAAACAAGTGAGATTTTCTAAAGCTAAACTGGTTAATGATAGCCACTTGGATTAGGGTTAGGCTTAGATTTAGGCTTAGATTTAGGCTTAGGGTTGGGCAGGGAATGAGCATCAGGTCCGCTGCTTGAAACTAGTCCCACTGTCCGGCCCTTAGCTTGGTGCCCAGCTACCAGGTCCTTGGTGGCCATGGGTGCCAGATCAGAATGTAACAAGGCTGCTCTTATCCATGATCTTGTCTTACCAAAACCTGGTTGAGCCTGGAGGGGTTCACCTCTCAGAAACGTGCCCTCCTGGGTTTCAGGTTTTGCACCAGCTGAGAGTCCAGGGGATAACTGGATGTGAGACGCTTTGGTTGAATTTATATATTTATTTATTTAATGTACAGGACTTATATGGCCATCTATCTCATACAATGACTCCAGGTGGCTCGCAACAATCCATAAGACATAGTTAAGAACACCCTTCCGCCCAGGCGCCAGACCAAACATCCCCACAGCTCAACCCCCCATTCTAGCCCAAAGCTTGGAGGAAGAGCCCGGTCTTCACAGCCCTCTGGAAGGCTAAAAGGGTAGGGGTCTCTCTGATCTCCATTGGAAGGCTGTTCCAAAGGCCTGGGGTGGCCACCAAGAAGACATGTCTCTGAGGTCCCATCAGATGGCAACATTTAAGGGAGGGGACCTGGAGCACACCCACCCTGTCTAACCTAGCAGGACAGGCAGATATCCTCAGGGAGAGGCGGCCCCACAAGTAACCTGGCCCTGTGCCATGTAGGGCTTTAAAGGTGATAACTAGCACCTTGAATTGCACCCGGAAAGCAACTGGAAGCCAGTGCAGCTCACGCAGCAGTGGTGTAATTTGGGTGAACTGTGGGACAGCCAAAACTGTTGCAGAACTGGACCAATTGCAGTTTCCGGATGGTCTTCAAGGATAACCCCAAGAGTACATTGCAGTAATCTAAATGGGAGGTGACTAAGGCATGGATGATTGTGAGCAGGTCGGGCTTAAGGGAACAGCTGGGATCACTGCAGTGTGCTGCCCTTACTGCTGCCCAGCAGCACCCCTGCCTGAGCAGCTGGATTCCATTTCTTTATTGTCAACAGAGTCCCCAAGGCTGTTGGTGTCAACGGACTTCAATATGCCACCTAATGACGTTGAGTCTGGGGTGGCTCAGGAATTCATCGCCTCCATGGCAACCATGGACCTTTCCCAAGTCGTCAGTGCATACCGGCAGCTGTATGTTGGATCTGGTTTTCGTCTGAGATGTGAGGGCATTAACATCAATCAGTTGCCATGAACAGATCACTTTCTGTTTGTCTTTCAACTCACTGATGTCACCCTCCCTGCACGGAGACAGGACCCATATATTTGGCTTTCACTGAGCAACATTTGGCCTTCACTGAGATTCACCCCAGGCAATTGACAGACCCAGTAGGGTTCCAGAGAGGGCTGGGGGTTTTCTCTGAGGATCTGGTGGGCGGTTCAGCCAAGGTCCTAGTTGCTGCCTGGAATGGGTGGGTGGCTGGGGCCTTAGATTGTATTGCTGCTATGTGGCCTCTTCCTGTGTGCTGATCCAGGGGTGCACCTTGGTTTATCGAGGAACTCCAGGAGGTGAAACACCAAAAAAGATGCCTGGAGCACCATCTAATAAATTTAAATAAATAAATAACATTGGAGGAAGACTTGAAGCTAGTGTGACTAGACATGGGTAACAGCCCATATTAGAGATTACTTCATGATGATAAGGGTGGTGAAACATCATTATTTCTCTGCCTTTATTGCATCCACTGATGGCCATCCAATGACCCTGTTTAGAGTGACCTGGTCCCTGTTGGGTAGGGAGGGCCCCTTGGAATATCTGCTGGGCTGCTGTGAAGATTATTAAGCTATACAGCAGATTAAACCACTTGGATCTGATCCGACTTGAACTCTTGACAGGGCAGATCAGGCCAAGGTGCCTGGGACACAGTCTGGTGGCATGACACGGGATGAGTTTGAGACAGTGACTCATAAGGAAGTGGACAGGGCTCATTGCGCTGTCAGCTCAGCCACTTGTTTGCTGGATCTGGGTTCCTCCTGAGTCATGAAAGGAGCCAGGGAGGTGACCCAGTTGGGACCGTGTTGGCCTCTCTGACAAAGGGAGCAGTGCCTCCTGCCTTGAAAGAGGTGGCAGTATGCCCCTCCCCTTAAGAGGCTGCCCTTGGACCCAACAGTTTTCAATAACTGCCAACCAGTCTCCAACCTTCCTTTTTGGGGGAAGGTTGCTGAGAAGGTGGTCAGTCTGCAGCTGATGGAGGAAACAGATTATTTAGACCCATTTCAGTCAGATCTCAGATTTAGTACTGAGACAGCTTTGGTTGTGCTTGTAGATGACCCATAGAGGATCTGGGATGAAGATGGTGCATCCATCCTTGATCTCTCAGCATCTTTCAGTATCATCTACCATGGTATCCTTCTGAGCCTGTTTGCTCCCAGGTGGGATTCAAGGGGCTGGTTGCTACCTATATAGCCCTACTGCCTGTCTCCCATAGTATCTGCCCAGCCAATTCAATCTGGCGTGGTTGGTGTGCTCTGGGTTCCTTTGATTAAACAATGCCATCTCTTGGGACCCTGGAAGCATGCCTTCTGTGGACCAATGCCTGGAATGAGGTTCCCCTCAAGACCCAGAGGGCCTGTGCTCTGCTGGTATTTTGGAGGGCCTTGAAACCTGGCAAGGGTGAGTGAAGCCCCCTTTGGACTGTGTTGACTCAGGTTTTTTTCATTCCTGTCAGGTTTTTGTCATCCTTGTCATCTTTTTTCCTTCATTTTTGTCTATTATTGTAGACAAAAGCGCAGGTGAAGCACAGGTGAAAAGAAACTAATGTTTTTATTTGTGAGCCATTGGGAGTTGGATGGCAGATAAATTTGAATAAATAAAAATCAACGAGCTCTCTTGGCCTGCTCTTTTTCCATCCATGGGCTGCAGAGAAAGAGAATTCTGAAAGCAAAATGAGTCTTGGGTTGATTTGGCCTTCACTGAGGTTATTAATATGTATTGTTTGTGGTGTTTCTTCCTGAATAAAGCAATTTAGTTGACCTTGGGTAGCACAGTGGACCAGTGGTTGTCCATCTCTGAAGTTCCTTCCGATCCTGGACTCCTACAGTGAACTAACTCATTGGGACCTCCACATTTGATAAAATAAGGCCTCTTTTCTAATCAATAATTTGCTTAAAAATACTTTAACAGGAATCAGGAACATATTTTTAGTCCTGATGTATTTTTATGCAACTGCTAAAAGTGATAAACATGGGAGATGAACCTCAAGACAGGATTTCATGACACTCCACTTGTTAGAGGCAGTGTGAGCATGGTGATTGCTATTCTTTTTTTACTTAAAATGATTTAATGAAACATTGAAAACCATACCACCTTTCCTTTTATGTTTAGAAGGAAGTTGGTGACAGGATTTCTTAATAAAACGTGCAGCGGGATGTCCAAAAGATACCAGCTGTGTGAAGTGCAAGTAAGAGAATTCTTTTTTGCTGTCATTGAGAGAAGGGCAGGGACTGAGGTGGGATCTGGCTGTAACCAGGAAGAAGCTTTGTCAGTGAAAGTTCTATCAGTGAGAATACTTACAATTCTCTATTTTGAGATTTTGTTTCGATTTTGACGGGGAGGTGTGGATTCTTTGGAACTGCAGAACACAAAATTTGAGAAACATCTTGCAATTCCCCTTTCGTTGCAAATGCAGCTTTTTATGGCAATGCCTGCTGCAAAGCTTGGTTTTTAAGGCAGATGGGCAAATGCCCGGGGAAATCCCCAGCCAGTGGGTGTATGAGCAGCCTGCTGGCAGCAGCAGAACTTGAGCTGGGAAGGGCAGCGGCTGCCTGCGCTTTAACCCGCGCTTCTCCTCCTTTTCCAGCAGTGCCCTCCAAGTGGAAGAAGCTTCCGGGAGGAGCAGTGCTCGTCCTTTAACTCACGGGTATATAATGGGCGGACGTTCCAGTGGAAGCCTTTGTATCCAGGTAAGCAAGATGATCTCTCTTTGGTTTTCACAACGCAAAACAATTTTAAAGGTTTGAAATGAATGGAGCTCTTTTCTGCTCCAGGAAAAAGAAATTCTCTTGAAGATGCCATTTCTTTTATTACTTTATTTATGTAAAAGATTTATGTGGCCACCCATAAATAAGTAAAACACAATTCTGGGCGGCTCACAACAATAACAAAATGATAAACAAGAAAATCAAGAAAACCAAAACAAAACAGGTGCCTGGTCCATCATCTCCATCCATTCATCTTTGCAGTCCCCGGCCTCTAACCTTACTAGCCAGCTCTTTACAGCTTTTGGGAAGGTTAAGAAGGTGGGGCCCTGCCCGATCTCTAGGGATAGGGAGGTCACAGGGGAGGGGTGGCTAAGGAAAAGGCACACTTTCCTTGAGCCATTAGATGGGAACATTTAAGGGAAGGGAGTGAAGCGTGCCCACCCTATCTGATCTGGAGGAATGGGCAGATATCCTCAGGCAGAGGTAATCCCACAAATAACCTGGCCCTGTGCCATTCAGGGCTTTAACAGTGATAACCAGCACCTTGAATTGCACCTGGAAAGAAACTCGCACAGCAGTGGTGCCACATGGGCAAACCATGGGGTGCCCAGCACTGCACAAGCTGCCACATTCTGGATCAGCTGTAACTTCTGGGTGACCTTCAAAGACAGCCCTATGTAGAACCCATTGCAATAGTCCAACCAGGAAGTGACTAAGGAATGAGCGACCGTGAGCAAGCCCTCCCGGTCCAGAAATGGGCAGAATTGGCACACAAGACATATCTGTGCAAAGCCTCCCCCCCGCCACAGTTGCCACCTTAAAAACACGTGGCAAGAGACCCAAGTGCTGAGGCACATCACATTATAGGAGCCTACGGTCAGACCTCTCCCCTCACACCAGCAATGACTGGAACTGGCCACAGAGAAAGGAGGAGAACCACTGCAAAACAGTGCCCCCACCCCCAGTCCTCACCGCTGTTCCAGAAGGATACCATAGTCAATGGTATTGAAAGCTGCTGAGAGATCCAGGAGGAGCAGGACAGTTGTACCACGTCTGTCTCACGCCCTCCAGAGTTCATTCACAAGGGCAACAAATACTGTCTTGGCCTGAACCCCAACTGAAAAGGGCCCAGGTTCATCCAGGGCCCCCTGAAGCTGAAAGACAACCACCCTCTCCACAACCTTCCTTAGAAAGGGAAAGTTGGGAACTGGATGAAAGTTGTCCAACACAGTCAGGTCCAAAGATTGCTCTTGAGAAAGGGGTGAACCACTGCCAAGGCAGGCAGAACCATCCCCTCCCACAAAAAGGCATTAACCACCACTTGGACCCAACCACATGTCACCTCCTGGGAGGCCTTGACCAACCAGGAGGGGCCTGGGTCCAGCACATAGGTGGCTGAGCTCACAGCCACAAAGACCTTGTCTAGTTCCTCAGAATCGACTGGTTCCAACTCCTCCCAGGTACCTTTTCCATGTATCTGACTCAAAGGAGGCTTTGTAATTGCAGCATCGAAACTCTGTTGGTAATTGTACTGAATATTTAGCATTTCCATTTTCAAGTTTCGTTCTTTATTTATATGATTTATATAGCCACCAATTACACAAGTGACAAGTTAAACTAGCAGTTTCAGTTTTGGGGGTCTTCTTAAAAAACAGGTGGTGCGTGTTTCCACCCAAGCGTCCCCAGGGGTTTCTCCTGCCTACGTTCTCCACTGCCATGAAGGTTCAGAGGAAACCAAAGCCTTAGAGATGGCACTGTTGTGGTGCTGTCGAGCCCTGCCTGTTCCAGCTGGCACCTTGCTCAGTCTGTGTCTCTCTTTCTCTCTCTCCCTCTCTCTCGTCTCCCCTCAGATGACTATGTCCACATCTCCAGCAAGCCCTGTGATCTCCACTGTACCACCACAGATGGGCAGAGGCAGTTAATGGTCCTGGCCCGGGATGGAACCTCCTGTAAATCCTCTTATTTCCGAGGGGTGTGCGTGTCTGGAAAATGTGAGGTTGTTAAACATTATAGCAACCCTCTTGTCCATAGAATTCTTGCTGTTGCTCTGGCTGCGCCCCCGGCTGCCTCTCAACGCTCTCTTTCTTTGTGCGGCTTTTAGCCCATTGGATGTGATGGGGTTCTGTTCTCCCCCCACGCTCTGGATAAATGTGGGGTCTGCCAAGGGAACGGCAGCAGCTGCACTCACGTAACGGGGAGCTACCGAAAGGGAAATGTTCCGCTTGGTAAGACAGGAGGGGGACCTCTGGTTGATTTCTTGATGGCATTGGTCCTAAGGAAAATGCTGCCTTGGGCAGGGAGGCCAAGAAGTGGGAGATGGTGTGGAGCAGGATCTCGGTAGACCCGATCCCATTGTTCTGGGAGTTGGTGGTTCTAGCCACTGTGGCAGTTTGCTTCCTATTCATTAATATGGTTTTCTGCAGGATACTCTTTGGTGACTCACATTCCTGCTGGAGCAACAGATATCCAGATAGTTGAACGGAAGAAATCCGCTGACGTTTTGGGTTTGTACAATGCCTGGAACTATAACCGATAAAATATTTATTTGTTGTATTCTTCTTAGGAAACAAAATATTTTAATTGTAATCTAAGTATACAGCCGATCCTGATCTCTTTGGTTTCATGATCTTAAAATCTCCAAACTCACATTTGTATTCCCTTCCTTCTTTC